CGATGGTTTTATTAATAAAAAAATTGATGATAATAATAATATTAAAAAAATTAAAGTTTGCGGACGATCGTGTCTCATGATGTCGTTGGACCTACGAGATTTATCCGTCGGAAAATGTGAAATGGCGCTCTTCGGTATGGTATGGTTGTTACGCGTTAAAGCCGAGATGCGCCGATGTGCCAAATGTAAAAGAGACGATCTGTTGCAAAATATGCAAAACGTAACGTCGTACGACGGCGGCAACGACGACGTCGTCGTCGACGACGAGTCGTGTACAATTTTTAAAAATCACGGAGGCGGTGAAACGTCGGCGGCGGCCGCGTCGACGGCGAGAGGATTTCACCGAAGCGTAGAACAACAAACGGACGGTGCAAACGCATTCGTACAAACGGAAATATCGCAAATCAGTTATCCGCCTAATATGACGACCGAATCGAGTTTGTTTAATTCGGATCCGTCGGGATACGAGGGGACATTTTGCGAAATCCACGGATATTTTCCACCGAAAGAAGGTAAATATGAAGAAAAAAAAAAAAAATCACGCGTCGGAGGAGAAGGAGGAGGAAAAGGATGTGACGTCACATCCTCTTTTACGTTTTGTAATTACGCAAAAAATTTTTTTTTATTTTTCCAAAAGACAATCAATCGAATTCTCCAATTAGTGGAAATTATAAGAAATCATTCGTTATAATTTTAAAAAAAATATTTCTCTCTCTCTCTCTCTCTCTTTTTTTACCTCCGTCATTTTTAATTAATCGATAATTTAAAAGTTGAAAACAAAGTAGACATTTCACGGGAGTGGAAAACGATTTACGTGCCGTTTTTTTTTTTTTTTTTTACAAAAGAGTAGAAAAGGAAAGAGAAAATCTTATGAGAAAGTAGAAAAAGATAAAGACAGAGAGAGGGAGAGGGGGGAAATAATAAATTGATCACCCAATTAAAAAAATTTTTATTTTTTCACGTTTGGCGCATACAACGTATAAAAATTCCGCGAGATTTAGTTAACACAACCGTTTAAATATCAGGGAAGGAAGGAAGAGGGGAAATGGGAAATCCTTAAAAAGGGGAGGGGGTAAAGAACAAAAGAAAGATTTCGCGGTGGTGTGAGAGAGAAAGAGAAAGACTTTAAACGGCTTACGGGGGACCAATTATCCGATTCGAATATAAAATTTTGATGACCGAATAACATTAATTTTTTTTTTTCCCCCTGCTTTCTATTGATTGCGAAACGTTTCAAAAGAGAAAGAGAGACAGATGGGAAGAGAGAGAGAGAGAGAGAGAAAGTACATTAACGTTTTACTTTACACAAAATTAACTTACTTATAGTTAGAACTCATTAAAATTATCGGTTATTACACGAGAATGTATATAAAGCAATAAATGTGATACGTATTAGTTTTTTTTTTTTTGCTTCTAGTTAATTTTTTTTTTTTTTTTTGCTTCCAGTAATTTTTTTGCTTTTTTTTTTCCTAAAAACTTGGAAAACATTTTTTTTTTATTTTTTCAAAAAAAAATTTTTTTTAATAATAAAAGTTTATCTACTATCGGATGCTGCTGCTGGTACATTTTTTTCTTTTTTTTTTAATGGAGTTCGTTCGATTTTTTTAAAAACTTTTTTAATTTAATTACGATATTTAATATTAAAAAAAAAGAAATGGAGGGGAGTGATAGGGAAGGGGAAAAGGGTGGAGTGGGGAAATTTGCCACATTTGCTTAAACATGTTTTTATAGCTTTTTTTCTTTTTTTTGGGGGGGGGAAGGAAGGAAAGAAAAAAAATTTTGTTTTGTTTTGTTTTTTTTAATATTATTTTTTAAATTTCTTTTTGAAGATGAGAAGGGGAGAGAGAGGGAAGGAGAGAGAGAGAGAGAGAGAGAGGGAGAACAATGGATGACCGGAAAAAGAGATTTTTATAATTAAAAAAATTTTTAAATAGTATATATATGTGTGTGTGTTTATATTTTTTTTCGGGGGACTCTCGAGATTCGAATTACCCCCCCCCCCCAGTTTTTTTTTATTAAAAAAAAGGGGGTGGAAAGGGAAAGAAAAAAAGAAAGGATTGAAAATAAAAACGTTTTTTTTTTTTTGCGGTTGAAAATTTTTTTTCGGGTGGGAGAAGGGGCGGGGGTAAGGAAGGAAGAGAGAGAGAGAGAGAAAATGGAAGAATATTAAAAATATTTAATGAACTATATAAAATTCTTATGAATATCGGGTTTGGAAAATTTATTGAGCTATAAATAAGAAGAAGAAAAGGAAGAGAAGGAAAATTTTTTTTTTTTTATCGTGCACGTGTGAATATGCGTATGTGTGAGTATGCGAGTGCGTGTGCGCGTGTAGGAATTTTTCTATTTTTTTTTGCCATAATTCACGGGCGCGATTATAATATAAACTTTTTATTATGTGGGATTCGTGACCGTAAATTTATTTATTTTATTTATTTTTTTTATTTTTGCGCGGTGTGTTTATTAAAGAATATGACGTCATCACTTTTTAAATAATCGGGAGAAATCTCTCTCTTTCTAGAATGCTTCCCTTTTTATTATTATTATTATTTTCAAAGTTTAATGACGTCGAATGGTTGTTTTGTAGATGCTTTCGTTCCTGTTGTTGTTTTTTTATTTTTCCTCTCTCTCTCTCACACACACAAATCATCTTGTTAGTCGTGTTAATTTAAAGCGTTAACGTTACTTTTATTTATGGAAAACGTTATTATTATTATTATCATTATTATTATTATTATTATTATTATTATTATTATTATTAATTTATCGTAATTTTTATTGTTTTTGTTTTATTACGTTGGAGTAAAAGAAAAAATTTTATTTTTATTTTTTTAAAAAAATATGTATTTCACGTAGAAATAAGGTATTACTTCCTTTATCTTTCTTCCCTCCCCTCTTCCTCTCCCCTTGTCGATTTCTCTAGAGAAAAAGGGAGAAAGGGGGGAAAAAAGGAAGAAATAATAATAAGAAAATTAGCGGGAAGAAAGACAAAAAATTTTAATATTTTTTTTTGTTTTTTTTTTTTTTGTGTTTGTAAATTTTGTGAGGTCGACGGAAGGTAAACATAAAAAACAAGTTTATCTTATAATAAATGAGAACGACGGTTTCGGAAAATAGTAAATAAATCAAGCTGACGCGCTCTACCCCCACTCTAGGTTGTTGTTGTTGGTTGTTGGTTCAGTCAGTAATAAGTTTACTTACTTTGAATTTTAAATTAGGAAAATAACAAACAAATAACTCAGGAATGTGAAAAATAGAAAAAAAGAAGGAAAGGTGACGGTTGAAGGGGGAGGAGGAGAGAGAAGGGAAGGGGAGGTGGGAGGGAAAGAAGAAAAAAAGAAAAGTTTTTTCTTCTTTCCTCTTTTTTCTTCTTTGAAGAAGTTGTAGTGGTAGCAACAGCAGAAGAAACAGAAGATGTGATAGTTTGAAAATAGTACAAAGGCGTGCGTGTGTGTTTGTGTTTGTGTGTGTGTGCGTGTGCGTGTGAACGAATGAATGCAAGGATGGAAAAAATTTTTCTCCCCATTTTTCGAGTCTTTTTCTTCACCTTCAAAGTGTGGATGGATTCCTACTGAAGAATGAAAAGAATTTTCCAAAGAAAAGTCAAGTTTTTCCATCCTAAAATTTGTTTCTTTAAATAACCACAAAAGAGAAAAGCAAAACTTTTTGTGTTCCGAGTTTTCTCTCTCTCTCTCTCTCTTTTTCTCTCTTTTATTTTTTATTTTCTTTTAGCTGCCACAAACGAGAAGGGAAAAAAAAAAAAAATTTGTTGGCTCTTTTATTTTTGTCGTGTTTTGGACATTCGCTAATTAAAATATTCTAGATCAAAATGGAAAAAAAAGAAAAAAAAACAAAAGAGACAAGAGAGAAAATAATTTAGGTAAAAGGTGAAAAACAAAAAAAAAAAAAGTTGGGGTGGAGTTTTTCTCTTTTCCTTTTTTTAAATCGACCGAATTAACAATCGTCGTCCTCGTCGTCGTCGGTCTCGTCTTTGTTTACGATTTTGTCGTGGCATTAGAAAAAATTTAATTTTCAAATATTAAATGAAAAAAAATTTAAAAAATTTAAATTGTTTTGTCCCTTTTTCAATTCGTGCAATCGTCATTATTATTATTATTATTTAATAAACAACATGCAAAGAGGGGGAAAAGGATAGTTTTGTTCTTTTTTTTTGGGGGGAAAGGGAAAGGGCGAGGGAAAAATAAAAACAAGAATAAATTAAACGTTTGTTTGTTTATTTTACGTTAAATTTTGCGGTGAAAGGTTTTTTTTTTCTCCCAAGTTGATTATGGTTTGTTTTTTGGGGGGGAGGGGAGGGAGGGTGAAAATGAAATTTTCTCTCGTAAAATAAATTATTCTATAAATTTTTCTCCATCTTTTCTTACGATTTTCACGTTTACATATTTTTTCTAAATTTGTTATTCGCGTACGCACAATTACGCAGTCAAAAACGTTTTTGAAAATTTGATGAGAAAGAAAAAGAAGAGAAGAAGAAGAAAAGAAAATAATTCGCGGAAAACCTTTTCCTCCATTTTTTTTTTTTTTTTTTTTTTTTTTTTATTAAATGAGAAAATTGAACTTCTTTATTGCGCCGTTAATTTTAATTATAATATTTTTTTTTTTTTTTTTTCACGTTGATTTAATTTTACGGTTGTTGTTGTTGTTGTTATAGTGTTCGGTAGTTGTCGGTTTACTACTACAATTAATTAATTAATTAAATAATTTCTGTCTCTCTCTCTTTCTCTCTCCATCTTTTTTTTTTATGCGAAGTCGTAACTATTAATTATCGAAATGAAAATTACACGGTTTTTCTGTTAATAATAATAATAATCAACTTGTTTTTTTTTGGTCTCGCGTTAACTACGTTCGGGTACTGGAATTAATTTTTTTTTCCATCTCTTTCCTTTTCTTTCTTTCTTTCTTCCGGTTTTTGTATTTTTTTCTTATTCGTTAAAATGTTGTTTGCATGGAAATAAACGAATTGATTTTTGTTTTTTCAGATATTCAAGAATTTTACGAACTAACATTACTCGACGATACGAAATCGATTCAGCAAAAAACTGCGGAAACGATACGAATAGCGAATAAATGGGAAGCTAACGAAGGACCCATAACGACTACATTTAAAAATGACGTCGTAAGTTTTTTTTTCCTTTTTTTCCTTTTTTTATCGATTGTTCTAGAAAAAAGAGAAGAAGAAGAGTTTAGCATGGCCGGTGCTTTTAAAAAGGGAATTTTTTTTTTTTAAATAAAAACGCGAGGATGTTTATTCGAATAAGGGTGGTCTCGTTAGTAATCAGGGAAAGGAAAACACGACGATGGCGATGACGACGATGACGATGACGACGATGATGGTGGTGATGATGACGGTGATGACGATGATGATGACAACGACGATGACGATGATGATGATGATGGTAGTGTGCGAATAACGAAAGAAAGGAAGAAAGAAGAGAAAAAGAAAACAAATCAAAAAAAAAAGGAAAAAGATTTTATGATTTGTTTAAATGATAAAACGAAAATCGTTTTTATCCGCACAAATCGTAAAGTTTTAAACCGAAACGGAAATAGTAATAATAATAATGATACTGATGATAAGGGGGGGGGGGAAAGATACGCGAAACAAGTCGAAAATATTTTTGCAAGAGAATGAAAGGAAAAATTGAAATGACCAAAGAATTAGCCTCATGGAAAAAATGAAAAAAAAAAAAAAAAAAAAAAAATTTATTAAAAATGATGACGACAACAACAAAGGAAAATCGGAAAAGAAAAAACAAAAAGAAAAAATTTCGTGACCGGAAAGGGAAATGAAAGAATAAAAAAAAAAAAAAATTGTTAATTAAAGTACGAGAGAAAAAAAAAAAAACAAGATAAAAGATGGTTTTATCGATTAACGAAAATAAGGAATGGAAGAAAAAAAAGTAATCATCATTATCATCATCAATGCTTTAGAATTTCGAATGATGATAATAATAATAATAATTTAAAAGTTATCGAAGCGAAAATAATAATAATAATAATGATTATTATTACGAAGAAATTCGAAAAAAAGAAAAATCGAATGAAATTTTATATTCGAAAACGTTTTCGTCGTGGGAAAAATGAAATTGTAATAAAAAAAAAAAAAGAAAAAGAAAAATTTGAATTTGAACCAATCGGAGACACGTTTCCGGTATGGAAAATGGCGGGAAAAAAAAATGATAATGGCCGACGGTCGCGTGAAATCGTTGGAATATTTTTAACGATTTTTTTTTTTTTTTTTAAACTGTTTGCTTTACGTGAAAATGTTCTTTATCAGGAGGTTTCTGCGTGAGTAGTGAGTGCGTAGGAGGTGTGAGAGAGTGAGAGAGAGAGATGGAAAATGGGGTAAGGAGTAGAGATAAAGAGAGAGGGGGGGCGGGTTCGGTGTGAGGTTTGGTAGGATTTTTAATAATTGTCGTTGTGTACGTACGTACGTAATTCGATGTTAGAATTTTAAAACGTTTATTTACTATGTTTAAATTTTTTTTTTTCTTCTGCTTATTTTTATTTTCTTCTGCTTTTTAATTAACCCGGGAATTTGAATTAATTTAAATTTAATTTTAAATTTCTAAATTTTTTTTTTTTTTTCTTTCTTTCTGTGTGTGTTTCTACGTGTTTTTTTTTTTTTTTTTTTTTAAAAAAAAAAAAAGTAAAAATGTCAGCATGAATTTTAATTAAGGCGAGAGTGGGGGAAAAAAGAGGGGAAGAGATGGGGAGGGAGTAGTGGGAGGAAAGGGGGAAGAAAAACAAAGCGGTCGTGTTTTATTTTATTTTATTTTTTTTTTTGTAAAAACGACCGATCTGATAAATTATGGAAAAATTTTTATTTTTATTTTTTCTTCAAAATAACGAGAAGAGAAATGTTTCTCTCTCTCTTTCTCACTCTATCCTTTTTCTTAAACTTTGACCGTAATCAATTTATTACTATTATTATTTTTCCACGTCAAAATTTTTTGTATTTTTTTATTTTTTTTCAGTCGGCTGGAAAAAAAAATTAAAAATTTTTTTTTTTTTTTTGTTATTTATTCACCTCCAAAAACGTTTGATATAAATCAATGCGATAATAATAATAATAATAATAATAATAATAATAATAATAATAATAATAGTAATAATAATAATAATAATAATAATAATAATAAGAAGAAGGAGGGCGCTGGTGTTCCATGGTTGACAAGCCTTTTTGTCATATCGTTTTCTTTAATTAATTTTAATAGTTTTTTTTTAGGGTTTATTTATAAGTTATATATCAAAAGTTTTGTAATTTAATCTAGTTTACAGTGATATAATTAGTTTTTTAAATTATTTAGTAATAACTGTATTATCTCAAGTTTAAATTTACAAATTGTTCAACGATTCCATGTGACAAAAGGAAGCGTGGGCAATAAAAAACCTTAGAAGGCACCTTAGTACATATAAGTTAAACGGATAAGTACCTCATTTTAAGACTTAAATTTCAATTGTAAAACGTTAGGCTAACAAAGAAATTGAACACATAACCAAAAAATTTTTTTATTTTTATTTTTTTTTTATATTTCTTTGGTTAATTATAAGTGATTTGACTATTTATATCTTTATCTTATTTAACAAAATAAGAATTAAAATATTTTTACAATAATATAGGTTGATACATGATTTTTTCAGGGTGTAATTTCTATACCCCTATTGTTAAGTGTTAACTTGTGATTGTATGTTATTTTAGCCT